TGTCTCACTGCCATATATATTTATATATATGTATATATATATATAAAAGATTTTAGTAAATTCCTATATACTTTTTTTCCCTTTAGTGAGTGAAAAAGTTCACTGAATTCGGAAAACATTTAAGTGACACTAAACCGTAATAATAAATAAATAAAAGCATCTCATTACAAAATTGTTTAATGTGCAGTGAAATATATGCATACTTGCTCGATAAAAAATGTTCTATCTAGGACAGTTTCTAATATCTAATTGTAACAGGTATGACAAAAAATTTCAATTTAATTTTAAATTTTTTTACTGAAAGTGTTATGTGGCACGAAACGCTATATATTTTAAAAATATATGAAATATTAATTTCTTTGAGCTATACGGAACTATAAAATATATATGATTAATATAAACTGTATGCAATAGACACTTTAAAGCACAAGTTTGATTAGATAGAATAATTTAAATTCTTTCAACTGAAAATATTTATAAAAAGAAAATAATTTTAAATTGTTTTGATGTAAAGCTGCTTGCTTGCATCCTATTATTTTGTAAAACACGTTTCCAACGATTTCAAAAGCAAAGTAGGGCGTATTTGAATTTTCATAGTGGTAGGTTTCAATGAAAGGTTTTTGTAAGAAAATAATTGAAGAGATTCTCTGGGGGAAAAGAAATACTTTAGGTAAGGAAAATTTTATAATAAAGTTACTTTCTTTGGTGGTGGTGAAATTTCTTAAATTGTAGTCTTAACCAAGTATGTTGAATGTAAAAAAAAAAACCAGAGATAACGAACGATACCAAACAATTTCTTTGGAATTGAAATATTATGCAATTTAATTTGACAGCAACAATGTTTTTTACCTCAAAAATAAATCATATAATACAAAACGGAATATTCATATTTTAGGAATATTTTTATTCCCCTTTCAACATATAAAAGTCTTAAAAAATGTTTCTTGGGATTTTGTAAGCATTCTGATTTAAAAGGAATTTTTCTGGTATGCTAATTTAGCTTCAAATTTAAAAAGTGACACAAATAATCAGAGAGGATATTTTATAAAACCTATTTAACACATCGCCATTTAGTATGTAGGAGAATTCATCATTCAGTCTGTAGGTATCAAATTCCCTAAGATCAAGATTTGTTTACCGACAGAAAAACAAATAAAAATATAGAGAATGTGATATTATAAAATCTTTTATTGTCAAATTAAACACGAAACTACTCATCCATACAGTGGAGCAGCGTAAAGTTACAATTCGAAAGCAATTAAATTTAATTATTAAAATGCATATTTAACTTATTTAAAATTCAGCCATTAAATAGCTAACTGAAAATATTTTTCCGAATACAATCTTTTCTTGTTCATTATTTTTATAGTAACGTTTAAAACTAATTAACATAAAGTGTCTTTTTATCGGCATACAATACTATTGCAGTTGTTGATAAATATCGTGTTCTTGTTTATAGCAAAGAAATTGTCAAATAATGCTAAAGAAGTATGCCATTCTCCAATACTTTTGCATTAAAGCAACCTTTTAGCCATAAGGAAAATTGAAAAAGCATTAATCAAGAGAAAACTACTATTTACATTATTTATGATTTATAGACCACAGCCTTAGGCTTATCAATATATTTACTAGAAATTTGACTTTGA